AAACAGCATAGATGCATCCTGGCATTTTCCTTACAATCTCCCCAAAGTGACCTGTGGTCACTAGCCAGGTGTGACAGACACTACTTGTAGTCTACCACAAAGGCATTTTTTACTTTTTTGTTTTTTGAGACAGTCTCACTCTGTCACCCACGCTGGAGGGTGGCAAGATCGGAGCTCATTGCAGCCTTGGCTTTCCAGGCTAAAGTGGTCCTCCCACCTCAGCCTCCCGAGTAACTTGAGATTACAGGCATGCACGACCATGTTCAGCTAATTTTTAAATTTTTTGTAGAGACAAGGTCTCATTTTGCTGCCCAGGCTAATCTCAAATGATTACAGCAATAAAGCACCTATCCTACCTCATTTTCCACTTCTCTTTTTGAGACGGAGTCTTGCTCTGTCTCCAGACTGGAGTGCGGTGGCGCGATCTCGGCTCACTGCAACCTCCACCTCCTGGGTTCAAGCGATTCTGCCTCAGCCTCCGAAGTAGTTGGGACTACAGGCATGTGCCACCACACCCAGCTAATTTTTATATTTTAAGTAGATTCGGGGTTTCACAATGTTGGCCAGGATGGTCTCCATCTCTTGACCTGGTCATCTGCCCACCTCAGCCTCCAAAAGTGCTGGGATTACAGGCGTGAGTCACCATGCCTGGCCTCATTTTTCACTTTCAATAAAATAGTTTAGCCGATACAGTGGTGCATGCTTGTAATGCCAGCTACTCAGGAGGCTGAGGTGGGAGGATCACTTGAAGCTATGAGTTCATAACCAGCCTGAGCAACAGAGCAGGATATGTTTTTGTTTTTGCTTTTGAAAGAGGGTCTCACGGCTGGGCACGGTGGCTCAAGCCTGTAATCCCAGCACTTTGGGAGGCCGAGGCGGGTGGATCACAAGGTCAAGAGATTGAGACCATCCTGGTCAACATGGTGAAACCCCGTCTCTACTAAAAATACAAAAAATTAGCTGGGCATGGTGGCACGTGCCTGTAATCCCAGCTACTCAGGAGGCTGAGGCAGGAGAAGTGCCTGAACCCAGGAGGCGGAGGTTGCGATGAGCCAAGATCGCACCATTGCACTCCAGTCTGGGTAGCAAGTGCGAAACTCTGTCTGGAAAAAAAAAAAAAAAAGAAAGAAAGAAAGAAAAGAAAGAGGGTCTCATTCTGTTGCCCAGGTTCCAGTGACCTGATCCCGGCTCATTGCAACCTCCAACTCCTGGGCTCAAGCAATTCTCTCGTCTTAGCCTCCCAAGTAGCTAGAACTGTAGACATGTGACACCACACTTAGTCATTTGAAAACTTTTGGGCTGGGCGCAGTGGCTCACGCCTGTAATCCCAGCACTTTGGGAGGCCGAGGGTGGATCACCTGAGGTCAGGAGTTCGAGACCAGCCTGATCAATACGGTGAAACCCCATCTCAAAAAAAAAAAAAAGAAAACTATTTTTGTAGAGGTAGGATCTCCGTATGTCCCCCAGGCTGGTCTCAAACTCCTGGGCTCCTGTAACTCTCCCACCTCAGCCTCTTAAAGGGCTGGGATTATTAAACAATAATGTACTCAATAATGTTCAGTCTGAACCAAACATGGGAACACCCTTCTCTGCAAGTAAAAAGTATTATATATACATATATATTTATAGATATAAAACCAAGATTGCTAAACCCTATGTCTTTGCAATAATATTTGATTTTATCCAAACATTATCTGATCCTTTCAAGCTCATTCTTTTTTTTTTAATTTTAATTTTTTATTTGAGGTGGAGTCTTGCACTGTTACCTTGGCTGGAGTGCAATGGCCCCATCTCAGCTCACTGCAACCTCTGCCTCCCAGGTCATGCAATTCTCCTGCCTCAGCCTCCCAAGTAGTTGGGATTATAGGCACACACCACCATACCCAGCTAATTTTTTTTGTATTTTTAGTAGAGACAGGGTTTCACTATGTTGGCCAGACTTGTATCGAACTTCTGACCTCATGATCCATTCTCCTCAGCCTCCCAAAGTGCTGGGATTACAGGCGTGAGCCACTGCACCCGGCTCAAGTTCATTCTTGTTGATATAAGAAAACATGGCCAGGCACAGTGGCTCACACCTGTAATCCCAGAGTTTTGGGAGGCTGAGGTGGGTGGATCACCTGAGGTCAGGAGTTTGAGACTAGCCTGACCAACATGGAGAAATCCTGTTTCTACTAAAAATACAAAATTAGCCAGGCATGGTGGCACATGCCTGTAATCCCAGCTACTTGGGAGGCTGAGGCAGGAGAATCGCTTGAACCTGGGAGGCAGAGGTTAAGGTGAGCTGAGACTGCACCATTGCACTCCAATGTGGGCAACAAGAGAAACTCCATCTCAAAAAAAAAAAAAAAAAAAAAGGCCAGGTAATCCCAGCACTTTAGGAGGCTGAGGCCGGCAGATCACCTGAGGTGGGGAGTTTGAGACCAGCCTGACCAATATGGAGAAACCCCATCTCTACTAAATATACAAATATAAGCTGGGCATGATGGCATGCGCCTATAGTCCCAGCTATTTGGGAGGGTGAGGCAGGAGAATCACTTGAACCCGGGAGGCAGAGGTTGCAGTGAGCCAAGATTTCGCTATTGCACTCTAGCCTGGGGAATAAGAGCAAAACTCCGTCTAAAAAAAAAAACCTGTGACCCTATATGATACCTATTATTTCCCAGTAACTCAAACTACTACAAAATTCCTCAACATAATAATCTAATTGCCCTTTCTATGTTATGGTAGAACACTGGACCTGAAGAAAAATTCCTATACAGTTACATTTCATTCCTTTTGTTTTCTACTAAAATCTTCAAAACCTTCTTCAAAAAGTGCTGAAAAGCCTCAAAGGAGGTCAGGTGTCTGCCCTAGGAACTCTGCCCAGACACAGGTGAGGACCCCGGAGCTGCCCCCAAGCTCCCGCCAGGTGGAGGTTAGTTACCACCTAAGTCCTGTAGAGCTGCCTCTCCCTCAGACCCCTTGGCATAGCTGGAGAAGGCAGAAACATAGCTGCTGGCTGCCCCAAACCACCCAGAAGTGGCCCAGTCACAGCCATCCTCTGCCCTGACACACTGGGAGTAGGACAGGTGGGCACCCGGCCATGCCTGGCCCCATCTTGTCCACAGAGGAGCCCCACACAGCCCGCTTCCCGGAAAGCCAGTCCCAGGGCAGGAAGTACGAACAGCCCCATGACATTCTGAGGCATGGGAAGGGAATACCCTGCCCCTTGTCTCCACCTCCCCACCCACCCCAGATGCAGGTGACAAACAAAATACCAGAACACTGGTGAGCATGGTCTCACCCACCGCCTCATGCAGCCACTCCATCCTCAACCCAGTCCCCAAGCCCCTTCCCCAAGGATGCTGCATTTGGAGCCCACATTCCTAGGGACCTCAGAATCCCTCCCTTAACAGTGCTCCACTCCAGCTGCACTGCCCCCTCCACAACTGCCTCTTGTTCAGGGGCAGGGGCCCTGTACCCCATGTCAGCCCAGGGAAGATTCTGCCCACATGTGCCAGGCCAGGGCTCACTCCAGGGTAGTGCAATTCCTTTTTTTTGAGATGAAGTCTCACTCTATCGCCCAGGCTGGAGTGCAGTGGCATGATCTCGGCTCACTGCAACCTCCTCCTCCCAGATTCAGGCAATTCTCCTGCCTCAGCCTCCTGAGTAGCTGGGATTACAGACATGTGTCACACGCCCAGCTAATTTTTTGTATTTTTAGTAGAGATGGGGTTTCACCATGTTGGTCAGGCTTGTATTAAACTCCTGACCTCCTGATCCACCCACCTCTGCCTCCCAAAGTGCTGGGATTACTGGCATGAGCCACCTCACCTGGCCACAATTCCTCTTCAGTGAGGCATGAACAAGGGGGTGGAAGCTGAACCAAGGATCCCAACACAGACCTACGAGGAGGACCACAGCACCAAGTGTCAACAGAGTAGGCCAGAAAAAACCCTTCACAGATGGGAACTGGCTACAAGACACAATCTGATATGATTTTTTTTTAAAGTATTTATTGCAAAGATGCTGGACACAGTGTTGCATGTGGCTGAGATCCAATACCATCCATTCTGGGGACCTTGGGAAAATGTCTGCAACATGGGCTCGTCAGCCAGCATGGCTGAAACGTGGCAGCCAATCAGGCACATCATAGTGTATGTGGAGACCGTGCCAGGGCCGGCCCCCACTCATGCCTGATCCCTGGACTTCCCTCTGCCCTGTCCCCAGTCCTTGTAATGCATCCAGTCCAGCAGCTCCTAACTCCCCTCTGTACACAGAGAGAAAAGGCCTCAATGGTCTCACCTCGGGTGACATCCAGACGTACATGCCCTGTTGTAGACCAAGGGGACCCACTATGGCTAACAAGTGAGTGCGCCCAGGTGACAAAAGACATAGAAGCATGACACAGAAGCAAAGGCTGCAGTCCCCATCCCCCAAAGCACTTGGGGTTCTGACAGATGAGTCTGGAAGGAGGATCCCGCCCCTGCTCTACCTTGGACATCTCTCAGCAGAGCAATACACAAGGATGAGAGACCACCAGCCAGGGCCAGGGACGCTAACTTCTCTCAGGGGCAGGTGGCATCTGTAGGCTGCAAAGCCCTGGGAGCTGGAAAGATGTGCTGCCCTCCAGACACAGGCCAGGAAAAGTCCAGACACAAAGGACTTGGGATCCAGGGCCTGACTTCCCCAAAGTCCACCTGTGGATAGCAGGGCACCTGCTTTCTGACCCAGCCCTACAACTTGCCAGCCAGTCTGTTTGCCAGCTGTAAAATGCAGCCAAAACCCATTGCCCAGGGTGCCTCTCTGGGACCAAAAGAACTCAGGGACATGACAGACACTGGACTTCACAAGGCCATTTTTCACTAGACTCATGTGCACATGAATGGAAGGCCATGCTGTGGCTGGAAAAGTCCTCCCTTGCCCAGGGACTGCCTATGGTTCTGCCTCCTCCCTTCCTCAGGCCCACAGGCAGAAGTCAACAAACACCAGAAAAGGTTTTACAGAACCATAGGAAGTGTTTCTGAATCTTTTATGGCAAATGCATGTCTCTGCCACCAGCAGACATTCCCATGTGGACACAGGCAGCAGCAGGTGAGAGGCCACCTCCCCATCAGCTGCCAGTGTGCACAACCAGGGAAGAGGAGAGGGAACAGCAGCCTCTCCCTTGAGCACTTCGGTGTGTGCACCAGGAAGGTAACTTGGACCCCTGCCCTGTCTTGAGGTGGTTTCACTATGAGAACAGGCCTAAAGGGGTGCCCGGCCACCAGCTCCCACAAGCACACCGGTGCATGCACAACTGGGGAGGGCAACCACCATCACCCCCTGCCTGCACATTTCTGTGCATCCCAATATGTGGAAGCAAGCGCATTGCTTTCATGAATGCCCACAAATCAGGGTGACATGGATATAAGGGCCTGGCCAGTGGCTGCCCGGGAAGTATCTGCTGTGCCTAGGGCTCTAGTTCCTGGTAGGTAAGGATGGGAAGGGCTCTCCCTCTCACCAGAGGCAGCAGAAGTTCAGGGCCCCATGAAGATGTGGCCTCTGGCTTAGGAAATGGCCAAAGAGAGGATGGCAGAGGCCCTTCTGAGAGTCACCAGGTCCATGCCGGGCAACTGGGCCACAGTAGGCACATCACAGCGAGCACTTGCCTTCACATTGTAGGGTTTCACGCTTCACAGAGCCAGCTGGGCTGGCGAGAGAGAACACCTAAGAGCTGCACCATAAGAACCTGGTGCTGGGCAACCTCCGAGCAGCCCATGCAGATGCAGTCTGGTCAGGTGACTCCAGCAGCAGGTAGGAACCATGCACGACCTCATTGCTGACTGTCAGCAAAGAGCCAGGTGAGCTGGGGTGAGGGTTCTGGGTTCCCAGCCATGTGTGGCTTCAAGAATATCCCTGCATGGTGACTGTCACACAGACTGGAGGGCCTGGAATGACCCCCTCTGCAGAGACCAGTGCCTGCCCGGTCGTCACAGTGGATGAACATGGTCATTGGTGAGCAGGGACCGTGACAAGGGCTTCCTCTGGAGGTCTCGAGATGTCCACGTTCTGTACAATAAAAACACAGAGTGTTCACTCTATGGTGCAAAAATAGATGAGATGCCTGCTGTCTGCCTTCCTCATCACTGTGGCCCATCGGGCTTCACATTCTCACTGTAGCAGCCCTGGCCACAAGACTCTAGACCACAAGCTTCCCTAAGAACACAGGGCCAAGAGCTTCGTGTCACATAGTGAGTGGACGGAAACTAATACAAAGGTGGGGTGGAGGACGCCACCTCGTTTCCTGCTCCACTGCAGCCAGGTCAGGCAATACCCAAAGCAAGGCTGCCCCCACCTCCTATCTCAGGGCTGGGTGGATTGAAGAGGAACCCCTGGTTTGGTGATCATATCCTCATCTGTGGGGCAGGGAAGGGGTTCAGCTCCTGGGGTCACCTCCTTCCTGGTTTAGAGTATTGGCACACAGGTGTCAGAGGTAGCCCAGAAGCGCAAAGACATTTCCTGGTCTACAGCCTGTTCTGTTCCCCTAGCACTGGGGCACAGGGCCTCCTGAAACTCTCAGCTGTAGACAGCCTGCACCAAACTGCAGAGCTCAATTCCATCCTTGGCCAGTTGGGCTCAAGGTGTCTCAGGCCTAAGGAATAGGGAATCCGAAACTTCCCTCAGCTCTCTGAGGCTGCCCTATGTGCCCCGGAGCCTGGTGGCCCATCCTCCCACCTGCGGGCCCCGGAATCATCACATGCAGGAGCAGGTCACTGATGACCTGAGCTGCTGCCCCATGCAACATGACATGCCCAGATCTGCAGGGAGAGACACATGGCTCCCGTGGCCCACAGTGTGGGCTCATAGGACCGGCCCCTGGAATTGTAGGGGCAGGTATAATTCTTATTGTTGGGCAGGCTTCCTGAGGCCCCCCCATTCCACCACAGCCTGCCCCAATGGATGGGCCAGAAGTCCCTGGGATCCTGCCCACCTGAAAGGGAGCCATCCAGGAACCTGGGGTTAGCAGCAGTTTGCCTCTCAGAAGCACCCACCCAGAGTGAGCAGAGTGACCGCCAGCCACACTATGGTGATGGACTAGCAGGGTCAGCTCCCAAGGGCTGCCAGGCGCAGGGGCCTCTCTTACCACCACCCTGTCAGCACTGGGGGCCAAATGCCATCTGAGCTTTCCTTGGCTTTACAATGGATGCCCGTTGGGAGATGCCTTCCCCTGTGACTTGTGGGTGCCAAATTGGGCCTGGGCTAAACTTGGCCAAGTCATGCACAAACTCTCAGAGCAATGGGAAGACAGCCTTGCAGGGTGACTGGTCCTGCTTGGGGGCATTGGTGTTGGGAAGGAATAGGATACTTCTACACACTTGTGCTGTGGGCTCCAAGGCCAGATGTCCTGGTACAGCCCAAGGCCTGCATCCTCAGCAGGGACCCACAGCCCAAGCAGGCCCCATCATGAATGGCAACGGGCATGACTGAGTCCCAAGAGCCTTCTCTGTGCAGTGGACTCCAGGAACTGGGACCAGGGCTCCCAGAAGTGTAGTGGCCCCAGTGGGAGAGGGAGCCAACATGGTGGAGGGACCCCACATGGGACCAAGAGTGTTCCTGGGCTCCACTCTGAGGAGCTTCTATCTTATACAAAGTACTTGGGGAGAATAGGTGGCGACCTGCTCTGGACCAAGGCCTCCACCCCATGCTCAGGCCCCTTTAGCATCTGCGTGGTCCTTTCCCCAAAAGTATGATCCCATTTTAATTTTTAAAGGTGCTGGGGTTAGAAAAGGGGCTCATGAGGCCTCAGCTGCAGGGATGGGGAGAGGGGAGAGTGTCCATCTGCCCTCTGAAGGCCAGAAGCCTCATTCTCAGCCTCCAGCCTCTTTCCCACTAAGCCCAATGGCCCACTTGACTCAGACCTCCAAGGAGCTGCTGGGGAGCCCTGTGGCTCCAACCACACCCAAGCTCCGCACTCCTGAGCCTTGTGGCCCAGCATCAGGGATTTCCCCATTCCCAGGGCAAATGCCTTGGGAAGGCCAGATGAAGGCCCCCCACCAGAGCCAGGGCCCCACCCTGCTGATAGGACAACAGTCTTGGCAGAAGACTCAGGCTCCCTCTCGCAGATGCCCCAGTTGGGCCTGGCCCTGGAGGATGTGCCATCTGGATACCCCCACATCAGGAACACCCCACCACCCCAGCAGTGACCCCAGTGCTACCTGAGGCCTGTCCCGGTGTGTGTTCACAGCTGCCACGTTCAGGAATATGGACTCCACTTTACAACCTGCCAAAGGGAAGGTGCAAATCCATCGTCACTCCTGAAAGACAGCTGAGCCACAGAAGCTAGAAACTTCTCTTGGAGGGGGTCTGGGCGTGTGGAATGGAGCAGCCACCTCAGCCTCACTCTAGTTCTTCCACTTTAGGCAGCCCTGGGGAGCCCCGGGAGGAGGGATGAGGAACCCTGTCAGACTCATGCTTATCCGCATGTGACGACCCAGACAGGGCCATGCAGAGGCCCCAGGCTCCCCAACCCCGGGACCTAGAGGGATCGGGGGAGCAGCAAGCCTAAGCTGAGGTCACTGACTCTCACCATCTTCAGAGCCCCTAAACCACATCCCAACTCGACCATGCAAGGCCCAGTCAAATGCGTGCACAGTGCAATGAGGGACAAGGGCATTTTCACACACTGGAGTGACATTGACTACTACTGGGCTTCACAGCCATTCCCACAAGAGCACCTATGTTAAAGGTGAGGAGCTAAGACCCAAGAGATGAAGAAGTTGTCTAAGGTCTCTGCTGGTATGGCCCAGAGGCAGGAGACTCACACTGCCCTGCACCCAGAATTGTTTCAAGTCCCGGCCCTGGGGACCACGGGGCCTTGTGGGAATTTGGAAAAATCAGTAGAAAAGCCCCTCATCCAGACAGGCAAGGGTTAAGCAAAGTCACTGGGGAGGCCTTCAGTGGCCACATAAACTTTTTTACAACAAACTTTTTAAAAGCAAATTAGGGCCAGGCATGGTGGCTCATGCCTGCAATCCCAGCACTTTGGGAGGCCGAGGCAGGTAGATCACCTGAGGTCAGGAGATAGGACCAGCCTGGACAATATTGTCTCTACTAAAAATAGAAAAATTAGCTGGGCATGGTGGTGGGGGCTTGTAATCCCAGCTACTTGAGAGGTTGAGGCAAGACGATCACTTGAACCCGGGAGGTGGAGGCTGCAGTGAGCCAAGATCACGCCATTGCACTCCAGCCTGGGCGACAGAGTGAAACTCCATCTCAAAGAAAAAAAAGCAAATTAAGAAAGGTAGTGGGGTAGAGGGTGGAGGAATGGGTTCCTATCACAATTTTCAAGGAATTCAGAGAAAATCGTGGAACTGTGCAGAGGTCACGGCTACCCATGGTCAACGTGCAGGAAGCTTCCTTACCATATGCCACAGGGGTCAGCTTCAGGACTGTGTGTAGCGGACACTTGAGGTAGGGCAGCTGTTCTGTAGACACAGTGGGGCATGGTTAGCACATCAGAAATGCTGGGTGACAGTGCCTTCCTTCTCACACAACCCTCCCACCTCTTCTGGGGCATGGCCGCACCTGCTGCCTTGTCGAGGAAGTAGGCCAGCAGGCAGCGCATCACAGCCTGGTGGCAGATGACCAGCACATTCTCTTGCCTCTCCAGCTCCATGATGACAGGCTCCAGTCTCTGGACCAGGTCCTCGTAGGACTGCAAGGGCAAGCAGGGAGGTGTCCCTCAGGCCCAGCTTCAGGGGAAGGACAGACACATCCTGGACACTGGGCCACCTTCCACTTCTGCAGCTGTTCACCATTCTGGGAAGCTGTGGCTGGGCCTCCTCCAGCCTGGCCTTCTAAGGGCATGGAGGTGGGCAGCTGAGGAAAGGGGCCAGGTCCTCGTAGGACTGAGAGCGTAGAGCTAGACCTTAGGCTCCATGCCAGGGCACCTCAGTGCCCACCCATGGGGCTCTGCACTGAATCCTCAGCTATGGAACTCATGTGACTGGTGGAAACTGCCCGCTTCCAGCCCACAGCAAACAGAGCGCACTGGCAAGAGCACCGGGGAAGGGAGGAAAGACCTGGAATTTCCTGAATGTAACTCATCAGTTACAGCTGGGGTCCCCAGGAACTATCCTCAGTCTACTTGTCCAGTATCTTCCCCATGCCTGCCATGATATATGGTTTGGGCCCCTGAGGGGCCTCTTGCCCTGGTAGGCTTGGAGATTTTCATCAGTTTCATACTTCTACACACAATGAGTGGTCCTTCAAAAATGGCCTCCAGCAGTCAGAAATGAATGTGCCCTGAGCTTTGATTAGGAAGCAAGAATGACACGCTGATTTGTGCTGGCTCCTGGTATAGTTCTGGCAAAATCCTAGATCAATTCTTCTTTTTTTTTAATTTATTAACTTTAAAAAAAAAAAAGACAGGGTTTCACCGTGTTGGTTAGGCTGGTCTTGAACTCCCGACCTCAGGTAAGCTGCCTGCCTTGGCCTCCAAAGTGCTTAGATTACAGGCGTGAGATACCACGCCCGGCTGATCAATTCTTTAGCTAACATGAATTTCTCAACCAATTCTCCTCCCTGTATTCTCAAGTTTGAGCAGCCAGCTGCTTTGTTTCTTCTGACCGTTATCCAGGTTGGTTCTAAATCTGACCTTGGCCTCACAACATGATGTGGGGAATAGTGAGTGTTCCCAAGAGTTATACTATCCTGAGGATGGTACAGTATAGGGGCCTGTGAGCCTGACTTCTGGGTGGAGGTGTTTCTACATGTGTACATGTATGTGTTGATGGGGGGTATTTTTATTTGGCCCCTGCCCCAGGCCACCTCCTGGAAGTGGAAGAAGATGCCTCAGTCAAAAGTGACCCTGAGTTTCTGACCTGGGGCCTGGGCTGACCTGTATCAGAGAAGGTGACAAGTGCAGTGGCTTGCGGTAGCCACAACTCATGTATGGAAGGTCTCCCTGGGGCTGGTGCCAGGGCTGCAACATGGTGTCCCCAACCCCCCAGCCATTTGAGCACGCTGGAGAGGGCCAACAACTCCCTGGGAAAGGAGCTGGCCTGGGAATGCCAGGGGACCGTGCACTGTCTACGGGGTTCCCAGGAAAGCCTAACCCCACTGACCTCTCACCTCAGGCCCTGCCCTTTCAAATTCTCCACCCTGGGGAAGGGGAACAAGAATGTGGAGCAGGGAGCCAAAGGTGTCTGGGTTGAAGGCCTGCCCTGCATGGCACTGCCCACCCCCAACCCGAGGAAGGGACTAAGGTCCAGCCCGCATAGCTGGGAAGCAATGGAGATGAAACACACCCAGGCTGGCCTGCCTCCAAGACCAGGCCCCTTATGCTACCCTTGTAGCCCCTGCAGAGACCCACAGGCCCTCAGCCACAGTGGGTATTCCTGGGTGGGCAGTAGGTGGCTGGGACTAAGCGTCAAACTCCACCTACCTCCCCTTTAGGGTACCGATACCGGTACTTGTCCTGGTCCCGCAGGGCGAACTCCAGTGGATAATTATCCTGAATTTCTTCATAGGTCATTTCCTCACAGACGCCCTAGGGAGTTACCACAGTCATCACACCTCCTGCAAGGCCCAGAAGATGAGCCTTGTGGGAGCAGGAGCGGGAGCGGGGGGTGAGGTAGCATCAAGGAGAAGAGAGCAAGTTCATGGGCATTTCCTGTACCAAGGGAACAGGAACCTGTCTAGGGAGGGGAGGCCCTCTAGGAACACTTAGCATTGGTGGTTCCTTGTTTGTAAAAGCTACCAGGACAGTCTTGCCCACTTATCCATCACCCGTCCATTCAGTTTACGCCATAAACATGAACACAGATGTGTTTTTTCTTTTTTTCTATTTTTTTGAGATGGAGTCTCGCTCGTGTTCCCAAGGCTGGAGTGCAGTGGCACAATCGCAACTCATTGCAACCTCTGCCTCCCAGATTCAAGTGATCCTCCTACCTCAGCCTCTCAAGTAGCTGGGATTACAGGCATGTGCCACCACACCTGGCTATTTTGTGTGTGTGTGTGTGTGTGTGTATTTTTAATAGAGACGGGGTTTCTCCATGTTGGTCAGGCTGGTCTCAAACTCCCGACCTCAGGTGATCTGCCCGCCTTAGCCTCCCAAAGTGCTGGGATTACAGGTGTGAGCCACCTCTCTTGGCTGTTTTTTCTTTTATGTGCTATGGAAATACTGCTTGCGAGTATAGGTTATGTAAACTATGAAGCAAAACTTCACTTGTGTTATTTGGGATACACACACACACACACACACACACACACACACACACACAGGCAGCATAGATCATCTTCTACAAATGCCATTTTAAAAAAAAGACAGCCAAGAAGAATACTGATTGAAAATAAGTATGTGGCTGGGCACCGTGGCTCACGCCTGTAATCCCACCACTTTGGGAGGCCGAGGAGGGTGGATACCCTGAGGTCAATAGTTTTGAAACCAGCCTGGCCAACATGTTAAAACTCTGTCTCTACTAAAAATATAAACATTAGCTTGGCATGGTAGTGGGCACCTGTAATCCCAGCTACTTAGGAGGCTGAGGCAGGAGAATCACTTGAACCCAGGGGGCAGAGTTTGCAGTGAGCCGAGATCACACCACTGCACTCCAGCCTGGGCAACAGAGTGAGACTCCATCTCAAGAAATTAAAAAAAAAAACAAAAAACTAGATGTGTCATTTAAGGTCCCTGAGAGACCAGGAGTCAGTCTCGTCATCTCCTCACTAGCCATGACCACCCTTGACTAAGCCCATGTTATGGGCAACAATATGGACCACTTCCTGGGGACCCTGTGAAGAGTGATAACCTCCCTCCAGTCAACTCTTCTGCCAAGGAGCCAGTCACGTTTGAACTGACCAGTGTCTGTCCCTCCAAGGCTCACGCCAAGAGTCAGCAGAGAAGACACACCTGGGGATAGGAAGAAGCAATAGAATGCCCTTAATACAAAGCTGCTGCTCCCTGCCTTTGTGCTAGGATTTGTCTACAAAGCCTGGTGGGTGGGGTGGTGAGGGGGGAGGGGGGCAACACTGACTACCAAAAAAGGAAAAATAGGCCGGGCGACGTGGCTCACACCTGTAATCCCAGCACTTTGGGAGGCCAAGTCATGCAGATCACCAGAGGTCAGGAGTTCAAGACCAGCCTGACCAACACGAAGAAAGCCCGTCTCTACTAAAAATACAAAATTAGCCGAGCATGGTGGTGCATGCCTGTAATCCCAGCTACTCAGTAGGCTGAGGCAGGAGAATCGCTTAAACCCAAGAGGCAGAGGTTGCGGTGAGCCAAGATTGCGCCATTGTACTCCAGCCTGGGCAACAAGTGCAAAACTGTGTCTCAAAATAAATAAATAAATAAGGAAAAATTAAAGGAAAATCTAGGCAGGGTATGGCGGCTCACTTTGGGAGGCCAAGGCAGGTGGATCACCTGAGATCAGGAGTTTGAGACTAGCCTGACCAACATGGTGTAACCCCGTATCTACTAAAAATACAAAAAAAAAAAATTAGCTGGGCATGGTGGCACATACCTGTAAATCCCAGCTACTCAGGAGGGGCTGAGGCAGGAGAATTGTTTGAACCTGGGAGGCAGAGGGTGCAGTGAGCTGAGATCACGCCACTGCACTCTACCCTGGGCAACAGAGTGAGACCCTGACAGGTGTGGTGATACGCCTGTACTCCCAGTGCTTTGGGAGGCTGAGGTGGGTGGATCACCTGAGGTCAGGAGTTTGAGATCAGCCTGACCAACATGGAGAAATCCTGTCTCTACTAAAAATACAAAATTAGCCAAGTGTGGTGGCTCATGCCTATAATCTCAGCTACTCGGGAGGCTGAGGCAGAAGAATTGCTTGAACCCAGGAGGCGGAGGTTGGGGTGAGCTGATATGGTGCTACTGCACTCCAGGCTCAGCAACAAAAGCGAAACTCCATTTCAAAAACAAAACAAATCAAAAACAAAAACAAAGATGAAGAAAGCTTGCTCTATCATCCTCTTCACTTCCTCTGTGCCTTCACTAGAATCACCTTTAACGTCTATATTTCTACTAACAGTCTCTTCAAGACAATCTAAGCTTTTTGTTATCACGCACCACAAAATTCTTCCAGGCTCTACCCACTATCCCACTTCATAACCACTTCCACATTTTCAGTTCTTTATTACAGCAGCCAGCAGGCATGAACCACCATGCCTAGCTAATTTATCGTTTTTTTAGTAGAGGCGTGGTTTCGCCATATTGACCAGGCTTGTCTAGAACTCCTGGCCTCAAGTGATCTCCCCATCTCGGCCTCCCATAGTGCTGGGATTACAGTCGTGAGCCACTGTGCCTGGCCAGCTTCCACCAACTTAAAGAATACATATATCATCATGAAAAGAACATCGATAGAAATATGAGCAGTAAAGGTGCCTCTGTGAGGCCACAAAAGGAAATGAGGGTTTCTCTAGGGTTCATGTTCCTGGACCCTAGAGAAAAGGTTACCTTTGTTATAAAGTGGCAGAGAATGTGGCTAAATTGAGTTCCCATGTTGGATGGCCACAACCAGGAAGACTGATGGTAACAAGTACAGGCAGGCATGTGGAGAATCAGAGCCCTCACAAACTGCAGGAGGGAATGTGAGATGGTGAAGCCACTTTGGAAAACTGTGTGGCAGTTTCTCAAAAAGTTGAATGTAGAATTACCATCTGACCTAGCAATTCTATTCCTAGCATACAGTGAAGAGAACTAAAAACATAAGTCCACACAAAAACTTATGCCAGGTACGGTGGCTCACATCTGTAATCCCACCACTTTGGGAGACTGAGGCAGGCAGATTGCTTGAGCCCAGGAGTTTGAGGCCAGCCTGGACAACATGATGAAACCCCGTCTCTACAAAAAAAAATACAAAAAATCAGCCAGGTGTGGTAGCGAGTTCCTGTAGTCCCAGCTACTTGGGAGGCAGAGGTAGGAAGATTGCTTGACCCCAGATGAAGGCTACAGTGAGTTGAGATCGTGCCACTGCACTCAGCCTTGTTTTATTTTGTTTTTGAGACAGGGTATTGCCCTACCCTGCAACTGCAATACCCTGTCTCAAAAACAAAAACCTTGGACATGAATGTTCACAGCAGCATTATCCACATAGCCCAAAAGTGGCAGCAACTCAAATGCCCATCAACTAATGAATGGATACATAATATGTGGTATATTTATACAATGGGATGTTATTTGGCAATGTAAAGGAATGAAATACTGCTACATGCTACACAAATAAACCCTGAAAACATCAGGGTAGCTTAAGGCTGAAGGAAAGGTTGGAGGGAAATGGGAAGTGAGTGCTGATGGGCACAGGATTTCTCTTTGGTGTGATGAAATGTCCTGAAACTGATGGTGATGATGGTTGCATAACCCCATGAACACACTAAAAACCGCTGAACTGTATACTTTGTTTATTTATTTATTATCAGACCGAGTCTCCCCTTGTCTCCCAGGCTAAAGTGCAATGGCACAATCTCGGCTCACTGCAACCTTTACCTCCTGGGTTCAAGCAATTCTCTTGCCTCAGCCTCCCAAGTAGCTGGGACTACAGGCGTGCACCACCACAAACGGCCTGAACAGCATACTTTAAAGGGGCGAATTCCATGGTATATGAATTACAGCTCAATAAAGCTATCGTTTTTTTAAGGAACTATAAGGCAATAAATTGTGGATTCAACTAAAAAAAGTCACAATGTTGGAACAGAAGAAAAGCCCAAGGCTGTTTATCAGAAGGTACGTGGAAAAGATAAACATAGAAATATGATTAATGAATCACAGAAACTGCAATAGTTTCAAAACTTGAAAGATAAAAAAGAAGGCTGGATGCGGTGGCTCACGCCTGTAATCCCAGCACTTTGGGAGGCCAAGGCAGGTGGATCACAAGGTCAGGAGGTCAAGACCATCCTGGCTAACATGGTGAAATCCCTTCTCTACTAAAAATACAAAAAAAACAAAATCAGTTGGGCATGGTGATACGCGCCTGTAGTCCCAGCTACTCGGGAGGCTGAAGCAGGAGAATCACATGAACCCTGGAGGTGGAGGTTGTGGGGAGCCAAGATCGCACCATTGTACTCCAGCCTGGGCAACAAGAGCAGAACTCCATCTCAAAAAATAAAAAATAAAACAATTACCATAGGATCTGGCAATTCAACTTCTAGGTCTACACCAAAAAGAACTGAGTTGAGAGCAGGGTCTCAAAGAGACATTTGTATCCATGTTCAAAGCTGCATTATCCACAACAGCTAAAAAGTGGAAGCCATCCAAGTGACCACTGACAGACAAATGGGTAAGCAAAATGTGGTATGTACTTTTTTTTTTTTTTTTTTTGAGATGGAGTATTGCTCTGTCTCACAGGCTAGAGTTCAGTGGCATGATCTCAGCTCACTCCAACCTGTGCCTCCTGGGTTCAAGCGATTCTCTTGCTTCGGCTTTATGAGTAGCTGGGATTACAGGTGCCTGCCACTGTGCCTGGCTAATTTTTGTATTTTTAGTAGAGATGGGGTTTCACCATCTTGATCACGCTGGTCTTGAACTCCTGACCTTGTGAT